GACCTGCTGACAGACTTTCTTATGACGTCCCACTTGAAAAACTTTTCTGAACTCTTATGACCGTCATTGAGTGCATCATCTTTTTTCGGCGGCTGGCCAAATTTGATTTTTGGAACTGCATTCAGAGCAAAGTCTGCAAAAATTGCGAAAGTGTCCTCCAGGAATCATTCAATCAAGTCATTAGAACAGTAAAACAGTCCCTGTTAGACCATCTGACAACCACAAACACACATGCACAGTAACAGGTGGGAGCTCCCGTCCAAGAGAGGTGTTATTACAACGTTCCATGTAACATGAGAACGCAACCTTCACACCTCGTAAAGCACAGCCTGTGTGGGTTTGTGTGTCTGTGCTTCAAGCTGATATTGTTTTACCATTCTCTTTATTCCTCAGTGACACAAAAGAACTTATTAAAGCAAATGCAAATCAAAGACACTACACAATCAGGGCCAGCGTGCACGCACCGTTTTAATTATCTCTCTTTTGTTGGAGGAAAACGTGGCTCTGCCACAACACTTATTATCCTCTTCTGCTAATTAATTCGGCATTTTTTAGAAACGATACTGCTGTCAGAGAGGGTGTGTGTGTGTGTGTGTGTGTGTGTGTGTGTGTGTGTGTGTGTGTGGTAGCATGGATGTGACCTACAAACCTCATCAAGCCTCATTACCACCTAATGCTGGACCGAAATGAGCGTGTATTGGATGCCTGAAGTAGGTGCGCTCATAAACGTGACTGTGTGTCTGAATTTATTTGCTAGCTTCTGTTTGGATGTTTAAAAAGCATCTGTGAGTTCAAGTAACAGCAGGTTCCAGACCTGGGGCATTCGACTGTGGTTCCTCGAGGGTTTTTAGAAGTTTTAGAAGTTCCCCTGCTTTAACGCACCTGGTTCCCATCAGTGTGCTGTTAGGGGGGCTTGTGCTGATTGGATCCATTTCATCAGTATCAGGTGTGTTGAAGCTGGGTAACTTCTAAACCTCTAGACTGTCTTTATAAACCATGACGAAATAGAGGAGAACGGGAAGGGCAGACTGAAACCATATGCCATCTTTCCATGCTGAAATGATCCTGTCGGGCCCTTTTAGGGAAGACCTGCTATTCATCACGCCTTCCAGCGAGTTTGAAACATACTGAAGACTATGAACTGACTTTCTTATAGCGCAATGTGGCTGTAACAGCTTTTTCGTAGAGGAACCAATGCCTTAATCTAAAGCGATTCATTCTCTTGCTAAATGTGTTTTGAATCTTTTCTTTTGATAAACATTATTGGTAGTTAAATAATAAAAGATACTGAGAGAGGAACTCATATTCCTGATTGCTAAAAACACATATGAACATCTCACTTTCCTATAGCATGCATTGCGAATGGCCGATCTGTGCTGGTTATTGGAGTGTGAAGTCCCAGTCTGCTCGCTGTATGTGTGTGCTTGTGTGTGTAGGAGGGAGCCCAATTTGATTTTCAACTGTACCATGTACCTCCACTGGCTGCCTGTTTATAGAAATTGTATAATTAGTGTGCTTGTTCAGATCTGCAGCCTCGGAGGGTCAGAAGGGGCGCGTTGAAATGGGTGCATTTATGCATTCTGTTTTGCTGGTTTGTGAATGTCCACAGAGTGGAGGCCTAAACGTAGCCTCAGGACACGTCCAACTGTCTGAATCAAAGTGTTCTTGACTGCATTTACTCATCGACATTGACGTTTTTTTTTAACCTTTTGCCATTAATGTGTCTTCCTAAATAGCTGATTCATCTAAACCTGATAAACCATGCACGATGTGTCAATTCCTCTTATTGTTCACTGCAATCCGCCAGCTGATTTCACAACATGATAACATCCCACCTGTCGGTCCTCTCCACTGTGCCAACATAACAGCTTGAGGGGGACAAAACTGAATTGCTGGCCCATTTTGAATTAAGTGGTCTGCTAATTCCATCCGGGCCACACATAGCAAAAAATAGAGCCACTTTGGGTACCAGAGGGTGCTCTGGTTAAAACAGCTCACCTTGTGATGGATGATGACACCAGTTCATGAAAGTGGATCTAAATGAGCAGTGAGTGAAGATCACACAGACAAACAACAAGTAAATAAAGACAAAAGCAAAGAGGGCTTTGGTGTCCATTAGACAACTAAGGATTTTGGAAATGCCCAAAGGAACTAATCCTATTGAACATTCGGATTCATTTTGAATCAACACAATGAATATGAACTGCACTAACTACTTCTTTCTAACCAACATGCACAGATTTAGACAAAAAGGATAGCAAAAATTCAATACTATTATTCCAAATTACTACAATTAAGAACAATGTAATAATAAAAATCAATAGAATTTGCAAAACTCAAGCTTTTATTCGATACTTTGATGTCAATTATGTTGATTTGTTCTGTTTGCTGTGCACCAATTTAACTTTTTTTCCTTAAATGAAAAAGCATGCCCAGAGACAATCAAAAACAAAGACTAAGCCTCACTTATCAATTGGTGGCCCGAGCATGGGCTAATCAGCCTATACCAATTAGAATATATTGTAACAAATAAAGGACCCAACTAACTTGCAATTCTATTAATCATTCAACAATGGCTTCCTTTTATCTGGCAGATAAAAAAGTGAAGCATCCATTCAGATGTGAACCTCTGAAAATTAAAATCATCTTTTTAGCACAGTGTAAATTCAAACTCAAACTGGGAATATCAAAGAAAAAACAAATTCTGCTGCTTTGTAGGTAGTTTTCGAGACATTTATGATTACTGCTCCAACTCTCCAAACAAATGCATAAGCAGAGTCGTCATGCATGCCATCCAAATCAGGGAAATGATAAATTACATGAGTAGGCTTTGGCTGCATGCACACACAACACTTAATCCAGAGTTTATAAGGAGGAACCCAACAATTTCTACAATTCAGTCAACATTACGCTAATGTAAGAGATTAGATTATCTTTTGAATAATACTTAATGTCTGTAATACTTGCAGAACTTAATCCCTATCAGTATGGCGACTTGGTTTAGATATTCATAATATGGCCATTATCCTCAGAGGATATGTCCGACAACAGTTCATGTGTAGTCAGATTACTGTTGTGTTCTACAGCCTCCATTTGAGTACGGCTGATGAGCTATTATTCTGATGTATATGATCTGTGGTTGCATGCAGACATTAAGAACACTGTGCAAATTAAACGTTCTGGTCACAAAATGGACTCTCTCCTCTTATGTTGTGGGGATACATTTCACTTCAGGAATAATAGCCACCTTGGGTTCCTCTACTGTCGAAACACACACATGCACGGCAACCGCGACAGCCGGAAGGACAGTCCATCATTTCATTTGGACAAAGTGTTATTAAAATCCACTTAGACTTGGCTCTAAAGCAGTGGAAAGTATGCCGTCCACCACAGACTGAAAAAGCCAGTCCGGCCGACATCTGCTTCGAATCTGACCAAACACAGCTGATGCTAAAAGGGGCTCCGGCCCCTGCTACCAATACAGAATCTCCCCTCATCATTCATGACATCACATTTTGTTTGATGCCAAGAGTAAAACCTTTCCATCTGAAAACAAAGCGATTTTAAATGTTACAAGCAAACTTTATAAACGACTCTAATGAATGACTGATGATCTGTTAACCTTTTAACCTGATCTTTGCAGAACCAAAACAATACAGGGATTTACAATAGGGAGATTGCTGAAAGCTTTCTTTTTTTTAAATTGAATAATACTTTTTCTTCAAAAACTGCCACACCAGCTGTTCCCCAGGCCACCATGTAACAGTTATAGTGGTGAAATTGTGACCACACCCCTCAATGGATGCATGTGAAACTAAAATTACTATTATGTGTAAGTGCATGTGGGATCATTACAGTGATATATAATTTCAGTTGGTGAGCAAAATAATATTTTCAGTCTTTGCTTGATTTTATAAAAATCCATATTGACATACCATATAAATATCTGCAGTACTGTCAAAGGTCAACTGAGACACTATCATTTTAAAAGGGTGGCAATGTATGACTTAATTTTAAATCTACCACCACACTGGTATCCATGGTTACTGCTGTCCAAACATTGAGCTGGTGGTTGGATCTAACTTCCCACACTGAGGAGGTCAAGATGAAAAGTGCAGCAGATTAATGTGAGCAAAATAACCACCAAGTCAAAAGGTCTCCTGAAATGTGGTCAAATAGCATTCCCAACTCCCACCATGAGACACCCTCAAATAAGTGGGTGTGGGTTTTTCGAGAAAAGCTTTGAACTGAGGTTACATCGTTGCACAGCTGGGACTCTGAAATTAAGTTTCAAGCTTTCATCACCTAAGAAATCAACAAAAAGCCCCTTGCTGGCTGAGACTGGTTTCTCTCGGATGTTCTCACACAGTATAATGCCAACAAAAAGGCCAACTAGATTTTTCCTCTCAAAGCTTTTGTGCATCCAAATTAAGTTGACCAAATTAATGTTCTGTTGAGATTCCTGGTCCTCTGCCATTTAAATTCTTGAACCATTTCCATCAAACACCTACGCTCCATTTCCCACTTCAAAGAAATTAAATTCTTTACACTAAATATCCATAATTTGGTATTTTGCCTGTCCAACCTACAACCTTTAGCCTGTATAACCTCTAAGCTTTACAATACGATTCCAATAACCTGTTGTTCTGAGTTTACAGGACAACAGGGTGAAGAATCAATCAAAACGCACTCATCACAACAACAGCAGCATCACAGAAAGTGTGAGCAGACAGGTGAGCATACATGGAAATGAATAAGTCAGAGCAGAAAATAAAGAGAAGGACGAAGGATCCAGAGATTGGGGATTTTTGAATTTGTTGAATGCCCTGTGAGCAGTCCGCCACAAAGCTCAATGTGCCCACCCCATCACACCAACTCCCAACTTTGATCACAATCATCGGCAGTAAAAACTGCGGTCAAATTAATCATCACAGTGGTCTGCACGACCAGTTAAGACCGCACCACTAATGGTTCATACTGGAACAACAAGTCGGGGATACTTACAAGATTTCGTCGTTTTGAAACTCAAGGACGCCGTGGATGTCTTCAAAGTCCTCGCCACCGCCTCGAGCTGTCCCCTCCACCGTCTTGTATGGCAGCATGACCACACCGCGAGCCCCAGACGTTCGCAGCACCTTCACCTCCATGGTACCGACGCTCTCGCTGACGTGGCAAACGGGCTCCTCAAACGTAAAGATACCGGCGTGGTCGTCATCAAAAATGGTGACGGTCGCTGTGGACGGCAGGCCAAGGCAGGCCACCGAGTCCACGTGATTGGCCGACTCGCCCTCCTCTGGCTCTTCCCCTTCCGATGTCAACACCTTGACATTGGAGAGGTGAATGAGGAAGTTCTCATCCTCCTCGAAGATGTCGTCGTCAATGATGCCCACGCGGATCTCCTTCATCGTCTCGCCGGACTTGAAAACCACGACGCCCTCTGTGAACTCGTAGTCAGAGCCGGCGTTGGCCGTGCCGTCTTCTGTCCGGTACTCCACAGAGACAGTTTTGCCCAGGTCGCCGCCCCGCCGCACCACGTTCACAGCCACCGTGCCGCAGTTCTCGAGACACTGGTAGGAACCGGGCTCAAAGAAGATCTTAGAGACGGGGTCGTTGTCGCCGGCGTCGGAGCGGACCTCGTGCATGCTGACAGCCTTTCGGGCCTGATCGGCGGCATGTTTTTTCAGGATGTTGCCTGCACCAGTCATCAGCCTGGTGGCCTGGCACCGGTAGAAAGCTCGGCTCTTCTGCTGCTGGCTCAGGACTTGGTAGTTGGCAAGCTCGATAAGCTGTTCCACCTGATTAGAGAAAACATCAAAAATAAGAATACAGCATTAAAACATTCTCACCAGCATTTTAATTGTGCCTGGGTGTGCTGTTAAAATGCAGATCCCACGCAAAGTCCATCTAAATTATGGAACTCTTAATTAATGTCACGTGTCAAAAGAAACATTGTCTATTAGAAAAAAAGCTATTTTGCATCATTCAGAATACAACAGAAACTGAATCCATACTCCAACTAGAAAAGTGCTGAATAAATCAAACCCTGAGTGAACAGAAATAAGAAAAAAAAGTTTTCACCATTTACATCAAATGGAAAAACCATATATCTTCATAGATAGATTCAATTTCATAGAACCCCATGAAGATAGGTTAATGATGTATGAACAAAAATGTACTGTGATCAGTTCAATCATCAGTGCTGACCGTCTGTAAACATTTCTTACTCGACTTCAGCCGGAATATGACATTTTCATTTGTTTTCATTAAACTGAAGTGATTGGCATGGTCTGCCAATGCAAGGCAAAGAAAAACAAACCAAGCATACTCTTTTGATCAGGTACCAATCACCCCTGTTCTGACATGGCACCACCAAGTTTCCTGGATGACTTACTGATATAAAGACAGATGTACAGGAACGGAGCATCGAAACAAAAAACAAATATCTGGCAGAGAGAAGGAGTACGTCCCTCATCATCCACTGTATGGACATACTTTATTCATACTGGTTAACGTTGCTTTTCCCAAATCCAATGCAGAAAGAGATTTAGCATTGTGTCTGATCTGCAGATCAACTGAAAAGAAAATGCAAAAACTGCCCCATTCTGCATCAATGCCAAAATAAAGTATAATTGTTGTCAAAATGAATTATGTGAACAACAATTCAAGATCAAATTTTCGCACAAAGCTATGGTACTAATACCATGTTCAAATTCATTTGTAATTTCCTTTTTGATGTACATTTATCATATGTCTTGTACAAGGCTTTAGGAAATGGTACAGGTCAAGACTGTAATCTCTGTCATAATGGAGAGAAAATAGATGTGTCATCCACGGCTGATTATTTTGTCATCTCATTTCCTACAGAGGAAATAACGTTGAGGTAAAGCAACCCTAAGCATTGACAATACATCATTTTCATTTAGTTACAAACCTCTTTGTCAGGATGCTTCTGTTTGAGCTCCTTCAGGATCTTAGCCATGTCTCTGCGGGTCTCCTCCTCGTCCAGGTCTTTCTCGTCTATATCTAAGCCCAATGGACCATCCAGGAAGTCAACGCCATGAGAGTTCAGCATCTTTCCATCCATCTCGATGTCCACCTTCAAAGTGAGACATTTAAACGAATCAGTGCCTGAAGACTATTACTGAAAAACACTGTAAACCTGCAAAGTGTAGACATAAGACATCGTTCATATACAAAATCCACTCAAAATATATATATTTTTTTATCCTGTGAAAAATATGGTGTGAGGTGCAATTTGCTATTCTTGACACTAGTAAAGTTTTAGGAGAAAACGTCTATATAATTTTCTAAACATTTGGCTCAAGTTTCAAGCACTTTTGAATAGATGAAGAAGGGATTGTTTAAATCGTTTGATGGACTACTTGCGTTGCGTGCCATTCTTTTTGTATAAATGTTAAATGAAGATGGATGACCAAATCCTTTCGATTGCTGGCAATAACATAAATGAGATGGAAAAATGACTCTCTTTATTGCAGATTTTACATTTTCATGCCTTTTCTGTAAAAAGCTGACTTTAAACCTCTGCCAAAACGTTGACCTAAATCATTCTTAAGATCAGAAATACTATTTTGTTAAATAGCATCGACAGCTGCGAAATTAGCCCTACCTTTGAGGGAAGTGGTCGGTCGCCCTCAGTCTCGATGATCATGCCACGCTGCTTGCCGGTGCGGTAGCGCTTGTAGACGTACTTGTAAAACAGCAGGCGCCGGTCAGCCACCCAGGCAAACACCACACAGATGGGGAAGAAGAGGAAAGTGAGCAGGCCTTCCCACACCTGCACCACGCCGGGGGAGATCACCGACAAGATCAGGTAGAGCCAGATGTATGCAAAGATACTCCAGGTGGCCGTGACGAAGAAGACGCGGAGGTGCTTGACTTTCCTGGTCTCACCGTCGGGCACCACGTACACGCAGATCCCGATGATGACGAACATGTTGAACGCTGCCGAACCCACGATGGTGGAGGGACCCAGTGTGCCAGCGTGAAACCCGTGGCCTATAACCTCTATGACAGACAGGAGGATTTCAGGAGCGGATGAGCCTAGAGCCATGAGGGTGAGATTGGATACCGTCTCGTTCCAGATCCGGACGGTGGTGGTGGTGGTTTCCCCATTGGGCTTCTTAATTGTGATCTCCTTTTCCTGTGATGTGATGACCTCTATTGAAGCCATGAAACGGTCTGCGATGATTGACACTCCCAGGAACATGTAGACCAGAGCCACAAAGTAGACCGTTGCCCTGGCGACCTTATCACCAAATGATGGGTTTTGAGGCTCCCAAATAGGAAGGATCACTCCCTTTGAACATGGTTCAGGCTTGCTGCATTCAGTCTTATTTGTGGACACTGCTGAAACTGAGCCCCCCAAGTTCTGCTCAGGCGGGGCACCAGCCAATGATGGCTGGAGTTTGAGAAGCAGAATCACTGTGACAACTGTTAGCCTCATGGCAGGGGACAGGAGGGAGGAGTGATCCCAGCAACCCATGTTGGCAAGCTCAGGGCCGTCGAATGACAATGAGGATGTTCAACCTTTAAAAAGAAAAAACAAAATAACTCAGATTATAATAACACATCAGGACCCACAGAAATGTTCAGTATAGTGATATTTGTTACTGTATCCTCCCTTTTCCCTTAATTCAACCTATGGATGAAGTGCAAATACTTTGATGGGAGCAGCTTTGGCTTGTATATTTGTTCAGTTAAAAGGGAAAACACCAGGCGAGCAAAAGATCAGATATGCATCTATTAGGGAAAAAATCCAGCTGACAGCAGTGTCGATTGTTCAGACTTATGAGCACTGAGCTGGTTTCACAGAGTTAAAGCAACAGCATAGTTCACCTTGAGATATTAGCGCCCACCAAAAAAAACATCACGGTAAAAATAAAAATATGTTTCAAGAAAGATATTTGGAAAGCATCAAAAAAGGCTGCAAGTTCAAGGAACCACATCAAAGATTAACTTCCATCTCAACTCCTGAACTCCCCACCAATGACTTCCAAGAAGCAGTCTCCTCACCTCAGTCCAGCAGCACTTATACTTTGTCTTACCTAATATGGTAATCAAAGCTTTTACATGAGAATAATGAATAAAAAAAACAAAAAAAAAACTCAATTTTATCCAGGCTGTAAATCAAGTTGCAGACAAAAGGAATATTACCTAAATTGGCTGTTAAAATGCCAAAGCTTTATAAATCTTAATTATTAATTAATTTCATAACTATCTTCCTGCTCGTTTAGTTCCTCAGTATGTTTTCAAATTGAATTTGTTTCTATTATTTTTGCTATTCATTAGCTTTTGTCTTGACTGATGACATCATTCACGGTCTCACATTTCTAAAACTTGTGAATGCATTTACTGAGGTAACAGCATTTTAAGTGTAATGAAGACATTTTTTTTGCCTTTAGACTGCACTCTTTTCAACACTCGGATATCAAAGCAGTAATGTGATTTCAGTGCAACGGCTCTCACACTAACAGAGGTGAAATAGACTAATCAGCTTCAAGGGAGCAAACATGTCCCTATACATGTCCCCGACACATCATCCATTCAACACAAGCTAATTGCACACTGTAAGGTCATTCTCTGCAGGGGTATTATCCATCTAGTTTCCAGTGGTAATGAGTGTGGACTACTATGCACTTGTACTTGCATTTTGTGAAATTAAAATTGTATGTAGCTTTATTTATTTATTTATTCCAAAGTGCTTGGTAGAAAAAGAAAACATCTGATCAATAATATTAGCCGAGATATCTCTTATGAAACATATTTCCTGATGTAATTTAGTGGCAACATGGCACCGAGGTTAGGTAATGATTGAGTGAGCACTAGCCAGCGGAGCCCTGCATGAGAGTCAGCTGCTGCACATCAAAGTCACTGCGTGAGCTTGCAGGGCGTAAACAATTGAGGAAAAACCTGAATTCACATGAAATGCAAAGGATTGTTGTTCATTCAACATGTCCATGTAGAACCTAAGACCATACATAATGTTAAAAATAGTTAAAAGTTATTAAGAGGAAGAAAGGGACGTCTACACATCATTTTCATATCCATCTAAAGCATATAGAGGAAAGTGCATTTGTGTAGATTCTTTCTGTCACGTGGCAGTTTAAATAGCTTTAATAGAAATTCAATATTAAAAAGGAATTCCCCAAAGATCTGGTAGGCCTGAACTATCCTGTTCAACATTCAGCACGTGGCTCTGCCCATTTATATTGAATTATCCTTAAAATGTGGAGAGAGGAGTTTTTCTAGTGTATTTAGTATGTATTAGTTTCACTTTATTATATTTGTTTAATATAGTAACTGGCAATATTTCCTTCAGTTATCCATTATTGCCCTACTGGGCATTCCCGTAATCCTTTCAAAGACTGAACAAGGACCACCACAGAAGATGGAAACTTCTCAAACCAGCTTCCTACATGTCACCGTCCATTCCCCTATAATTAACCGTTCTCATCCCTGCATTCAGACACAGCACAATTTAGCAGACGTCCATAGTTACATTGCTGTTTTTCCCAGAACAGAACCCGCAATATATGAAGCTGTAAATTCACACATGACTTGAGTTATGTAAATTTACCACAGAACGAAAAGCCACAAGGGATGTCATTGTGCAAAAAAAAAAAAAACATTAGCTGCATGACTGCTGACTGGATTCAGCAAAGACGCGCTGTTGAGTATTTGGGTTAATTAAACCAGGTGTGGTAAATGTTGCTGTCCTGATGTGGGCTCAGCTGTGATGCGAGAGCAGTGCGCTCAGATGATAAGAAATTCAAAACAGTCAACCATCCACTTAATTCAGACTGTTTTCTAGCATTAAAAGCAAACATTCTCCTCATGATTGTTAGATGGAAGCAGGTTCTTGCCTTTTGCCACCTTGTCTGGTCTCATTAGGGTTTATGTGGCATTTTTAAGCGATAAATAATTCAGTGGCAATTGGGGACTTTTATTTAAGGATGCAATTTATGCGACAGATTTATATATACCCGGATCAAATGACCGTTGAAACTGAAGAAAAAAAACACATCAAAAGACACACTCACGCATTTGTCCATTTGTACTTTGCTCCTGCGAGTTTGAGAAGCAACTATTTGTTTTCGCAAGCAACAAATGAATTAACAATATTACCACTGGTCACGTGTGCTCAGTTTGAACTGAAGAGGCCAAGCTTGTGGTAATAATGGCATTTAAAAGCCTGTCAAAAGTTGTTACTTTCATTTATCAAAAGTATCAATAAGTAACTGAATATCATGTAAACCAATAATAATAATCACACATCATTTTTTGAATGTATGGTCATGATAAATGTTTAAACCAGATTAATAAAAACACTTTACCGTTCAACACTCAGTAAAATAATCATCAACAGGTTTTCTTTTTTTTTCATTGAGGCATTTTTGATGGGCTCTTGTTTGTGAGATCTGGAACAGTGGAATTAGCTGCATCTGTTGATTATTCCTTGTTTTTCCAGCAAAACGAAAATGTAATGATAAATGTTCAAATCTGAACAGGGTTTTAACATAAAGCAAAACTAACATGACCTGCTCACCTACGGCAGCTCCTTCATCAGCATTCAATACGTTTTGTTTGTTAGCTTTACACATAAGAAGGTCAAACTAAATGTTTACCATTCCAGATCCATACATGGCTGCACAGTACAGCCTTCTAGGATGAATAATGGCATAAATACGTCCTGAATATGACCAGCAACAAAGTGGCGGTTGTTTATATTACCACTGCTGACACAGGAAGTTCTTTGAAACTGAACAGTGCCCTATTTTGAATTTTGCGATTGCAATATCCGTTTTCCGATAACTACAGTAGTTTTCCCAGGAGCCGTGAGCACAGAATCTTGACTCTTTCAAGAGGACGGCAAAAGTCAATTTCACCGCCACTTAAGAATGAAGATCAAGCTGCACAACTGAATAATAATTAACAAAAACCTAAACACAAAGCTGAGAAAATGAAAATGATGTATTTCACAATGGAGTAAGCTGTCGCTTGTCTGTCCCAGTAATGTCAGTTATAGAGGTAGCACCCAAAGGGTTACAAATAATGCAGTTGATCAGACCAAAAGCTAAAGTAGAAAAAGAAAACTGGAGAACACCGTAAGAAACGAACAGACCTCCTGCGAAAACCACTAATGTTTGAAGCTAAACTTATGCATGAAAAAATTGCAAGTGATGTATTAGTCAAACCTTAAGACAAGTAGAACCCGACTGTGAGTATTGCAGGGAAAATTAATGGCAAATGATTAACATTTCCCTTCCATCATGACAAGATGTGATGAGGAAATTTTCAAAACAGTGTGTGACAGAGATATGAGACGATTAAGACAGAAAAAGAAAAGTAACTGAAGGAGACGGATGGGAATGTAGAAATGATCAAGACAGAAGGTAAGCCCAGGGAATGCCACGCTTCACAAGAGGATAGCAACACAATGGAAACACATGTATACACAACAGCAAGCACACAACTGAAGAATATTGGGCCACATTTGCTGTCAGAGGGATGTGGATCTTTTTCTGCCTGGATAAGCCCGGCAGCCATCAAAGCCTCAAGTCAAAATGTCCTCATATTATTACACTTGAACGGTAGGAAATGACCAAAAACATAATGAAACATAATGATTCCCTGCCATTTCCATCTATGCATTGACATTATCTTGTTGCAAGTCCCCTGGAAACTGACAACCCACATGTCAATTTTGGAGAGCAGCTATGAGCAAAGGGGAACAAACGCTAGCGAGGACAGAAGAGTCAAATCACTTCCCTTATCTAGATGTCTAGTCATTCAAGTGAGAACTGACTACAGGCAACCGTTTCTCAGCTGCACACTCCATTCACATTTTCAGGTAATACCGACATTACCAGTTTCCAAATCCAAACCTTGTAACACTTTATTACTTTAAACATTAAATACTAAGTCCCATGCAGGATATTTGCTGTCCTAAAATCCAAGAAAAGTTTGACTAATACAAACAAGTGTCCAGGTCAATATGCTGTTTGTTTTTTTGTTTTGTTTTTTTACATGGGAGCAGTTAATAGTGTTGTCCAAGAGATTCCATGATTTAAAATGAAATGACAGTAAACCATTTTGGCAACTGAGCTGACTAAAGTGGCTGTACTGGTCACAGAATGTTAAGGAGGAAAAAAAGTAACATTTGATTTAGTTAAAACTCTAAAAAAGGGAAACCCTCCTCAAATTTAGGCACCAAATAATCATACAAAGGTAAAAAATAATGCCTCACATTTACCACTCCGACACAACGCATCACATTTCTACGTTCTTGTGTATAAAGTTCCTCCCATTGTTTCTCTGTCCTGCCAAACCAGAAGAAGTAGCAGGGGACAAAAAAAAAAAATCAAACTTGAGCTCAATTACATTTGAAGTGTGACATTGCTGTGTCGTCATTTTTTTGCTGCAGCCTATTGCTGTGACTAGTCCCATCTGATGGATAATCATTAAATGTCTGACAGTATCAAAAATAATTTTAGTACAACTTATGATGAATAAATGTTACACCCCTTTCAGATGATGCCTCTAATGAAGGATGAGCTAGTATATCCTAATTTACAACTCTCTTTGCAAGCCGCCTCTCTCCTCTACCAGATGCATTTCTAAAAAGGAGTTTTCACTTAAATATAATTGGCTGTGTAAGGTTTTGTGGGCACAGACAGAAAGACGGAGGAGTGAGGAGTTTAAAATCAAATTCTGCTTTTTCTTTTTTCAATCCAGGCTTGAGGTTCCGTATAAACTTTGAATGATTCACACCATTGCTTTTGTTACGCAATGTTAGCAATATGGAAGAAGGCGGTTTAATCTAATTTACAACACTAGCCTGTCATGGTGCTGCAAGCATAAGGCTGTGAAATTTCTAATTCACAACTTTTGTCTTTCCATTAACACTGCATCATTTGAACTTCAGGTTTTCTCAGATGGTATCAATCACAGAGTTACCTTTTAGCCAAATTAACCCATATTCCCTGAGCCGAAGAAGTTTTTAAACCACATTACGGAGAAAGAAAAGTGAATGACAGTGTGAGTTTGGTTTGTGCCATTGTGTTATGTGTTAAAAACAACTACAAATCCTTTGAAACAAGTATCCATCTGTCACCTTATTCTCTTCTGAAGAGATCACTATATAAAAGAAGAAAAGGCCTACATGTCAATTCGATCAGCTGCTTGTTAAAGTAGAATAAACTTTTACTTTTTTTAACACATTTTTGTCCATGTTCAGTCCCTATTGCGTCAGCAGGAACATATCTAATCTGCTCATTTTTACAGAGGATTGCGTTTACTGTAAACAAAGAACAGAGTATTTTATTTTCCTAGAAAACAGAACTGATCTGGTGTGTGGGAATAGAATCTGAATGGCAATTTTAGATTGGTGCAATACTCTTAAAAGGCGGGATGGAGGGAGGCTGGTAATCAAATCCCAGAAACCTAAAGCATAAGATGGTCTGAAACCGACAATGGAACCAAGTGTGGGTGACAGGAAGGTGGGTTTTATGATGGAGACTGAAGTGGTCAGCTGTTACACTGCAGTGGTTACAAGATTTAACAAAGTTGTGTATGTGCACGTGTGTGTCTGTGTGTGTGTGTGTAGACTTAATATTCTTAAGTCTGACTATAGATGGAATGAGTCCGTGTTTTATTGTAAAATACATACTTCACACTACATCAGGCCCTACCTAAACCGGCATTACCAGATTAAAATATCTACAAATCGAACAACAAAGCTGCTGTAAAGAAATCCAGGCAGCATTGCATTTTTTTCCACTTCCATAAATAAATTGTTTCACACTACAGGATGTGCTAAAGTTCCTGTGTCAAGGCTGTTAAATCCAAACTGAGAAAAATCCTTGATGGTACCAGTTTTTCTGTGCAAGCACAAATCTGCGGTTTGTCCCAGAGAAATTGGAATGTGGCGTCTGCCTGCTCGTCAGATGTGCAGGCAGTCTAACCCGATGTGGAGCTCTGCCGTGCAATCCTTCAAAAATTACAAAACAAACTACGTTTGGCAAATGAGTCGAGTTCTTTCCCCAGATTCTAGACTAATCAGTTTTTTAGTTTACGGAGCGTTTGAAGCCACAACACGAGGTCCAGAGCTGCTGTGAGCAGGAGCGCAGAGGCACTCTCACCATCCCAATCCCTACTGCTCAGTTTGGCGCAAAGGCTGTGGGAGCTGCTGAACTGCGCAAATCTGCCTCACAGTGCGTATTCAGTCTTTACACAGATTGCCATAAGGGAAATGTAACCGGCTACTGCGCACGTTTGGCCCCCAACTTTCACAATGAATCCCTGTAAAATGGTCCGAACGTGCTCTGAAACCCTAACTATTACTCTCCTATAAATAGGAAGAAAAAACAAACATCCTATTTTATAAAACATACAAGGGAAGGAGACGAAAGCAGGCAAGGAGGATGGGAATGAAGGACGAAGAAAGAAAAAAAAACGAGCCCCCCTCAAGCAAGAGCAGTCAGCCTCTGCTTTCCTCTCCGGCTGCTCATTTTAAACGCGCAGACGCCTCCCATCGTAGGCTGCTCATTGATTTTTAAAACCAGTGTGCTACACTCTGTGCATCTCCAGAACACAGAAGATTTAAAAAAAAAAAAGCGCAGTGTGGTAAAGCGTATAGTGGGCGAGGATGGGATGAGGAAACATCGTCTCCACATCGCATCCAGACCTTCCCGGACGCACGGTGCTTCCAACTCTAACTGGTGCTCCAAGAGAGAACACTCACCCCACTTACATCCCATTCATACCCGCTTCCCCAAAAATGAACTTGCTTGCACCAGGAAATGCAGCGTAAAAAAAAAAAAAGAAGCAAGGAAACTGGAGAATGTCCTACCTTTTTCGCAATCGTACGACTACCCTCAATCCAGAGACGCACGGCAGCAGTCAGATCAGTACTATTGCTGGTCTTGTAAGACAAGCAACTAGAAGGAGTAGTAAGAGGAGGAGTGGTTGAGGAGGCAAGCCAGTGGTGGAGAATGGCAATGGAGACACAGAGGGCTCTTATACGCCAGCCAAGACGGCGTACCCACCGAGCGAGACGCACAAAAGGAGGGAAGAGTAGTCCGGATTCCCATGCACAGACACTTTTTTTATTTGTTGCTATTATCTTCTGCTGTTGCCTACTCCTCGTTTCCATGCAGCGCGACCTGTGTGACCCGTATGATCGGATGACCGGAGTGGGTGCTTCATCAGCAAACCCGCATTTGCTGAGACGAGGCGCGCAGCACAGCGGACCTCTTCCTCATTCTTCCCTTCCCGGTTCTCTCCCCCCCCCCCCACACCTCTCGCCGTGCAAGCGCAAGAGAGAAAGAGAGCAAGAGTGTAATGAGTAAGCGAGAGTGTCCGCGCGTGAGCAGGTCTCTCCTTCTTCTGTTCCCTTAACACGCACCGACTGAGGATCAGCTCGCCCCCCGCCCTGCTCCTCCCTCTGCTGTGTGGCGTGCCTCTCCCTCTCCTCTTGGTTGTCTCTGTGATCCCTTTCAAACTAGCCCCATCACTTTTTTTTGGCTCAATATCTGCCCCCTCTGTCCCCTGCAATATTTGCTCTCACATTGCTCCCCCTGATCGGTTGGCAGATGACTCTTCAAATCTGAAGTTGTGATATCAAAACCATCACTCCAAATAAGGTCAGCTCTTGTAAAGCTGGGGTCACACTGACAAAGCAACCTAGGGCTAAAAATAAATGGTGATTAAAGGGCGTGTCACTCCTACTTTTAACACTCCAAGAGTGTAGCTCCAGGAGTCAGATGACCCTGCAAAGTCTCCACATAGGCAGAATGTAACCACATTAATTCAGTTTAACTTTAACCTAAGATCCAATCCAGCTGCATGGCCAACATTAGTTTGAGACATCATATAAAAACACGGTATGCTTGAGAAGGTTTGTAGTATCATACTATCAACTACAACGCTTGTAAAATTCACAAGATCAACTTTTCTCACCAAATTATATAGTGATCCATCAAACAGTAACTTTACTGTTTGATGGTATTTAGAGACAAGGCGTTCTGTTAAAGTTGCACTTAAAGTCACATCACACATTTATTTAATGAATTAAGCCCCTAGTCTTCAAAATTCAAGTCATCACACATTGTACAGATGTGGCTATATGGTACAAAGTTTTACCAGAGATCACTTTTACACACAGTTTTAAGTGTTTTCTCTCTCAATAAAAAAAGTGAAGAATTTTGAATTCCTCCATGCTTGGGATGAGCCGTCTATCAGCTAAACCACAACTGACCACAGGGAAAACATGGGAACATTTTTACCGAAGTCGTCCTCTATTAAAGATATGATCTTACCAGCACAGTTTCCAATTTGGTAATCTTGCTTAGCTTTTCCCCATATAAATAGTTGATCTAATAACTTATCAAATATTTGATTAAACTGCCTGCCCTTTCCCACACTGTGTTGCACAGAACCATCTGGGGCATTGGATGACAGAAAAGGTGCTTGAATTCTGCCTGTGCAACGTCTGTGAGAAAAAAAAAGCAATTTATTTAGTTCTAGTCATTTACTGATCCAAAAAGTCAATTTATCTAGCTCTATGACCATCTAATAGACTGAAATAAGATACAACTGTGTGTGTGAATCCACATTTTACACATTCTCTCCCTCCCCAATACTGTGAAAAATGTTAATTTATTTTTAACCTCAACTCAAGTTGGTGTTGGATAAGATGCAAGTAGAGCTGCAGTTTCTTTTTCGGCAGCACATATGATACATTTTTCCATCGTTAAAGTAAAGTTTTGAGAAAATGACACAGCACAACCCCCCCCCCCCCCCCCCAATATCCAGGATTTGTTGACACTTTTAAAAAAAGGCAATCGGTGCACTAAGAGAGTTGACTCGGAACACAATGAATGTTTTTCTACAGTTTCAAAAATCACATTGCTGGTATTAGGTACACTAAAGTGAGACTCACCCAGCAAAGGACAGCCTCTGTAAAACAAATGGTTACTAAAAGAAAAGCAGACAGGAAATTTCCCTAAAACAAAAAACTTTGTGATTGAGCCACCCCCCAGTTGGTGTGGTCAGTCTAGTAATACTTGCCTGAAAACCAGCCCCACCCAGTCACCCTGAATGAAGAACGCCTGGTGTTGCAGGTATCTGGGTCATGTGACCTATGTAGGAAAGAGGGAAATTATTGTTTTTAAAAAATATATATATTTGACTTCCTTTACTAAAAGGAATCAGGGAAATTCAAGCTGTTTAGAGCTTATCCATCTCTTCATTCTGTCACTCACAGTGTTTTTTCCACAGCAGACTCACATGCAGGTGAAAGAAAGTTGCTAAAAATTTTCTGGACATCATTTGGATGTCATGTTACCTCTTAATTATGCATCAGCTTCTTGTAATAACTTTGATCTCCCAAACATTTGATTCCATTGACAGCACTGTTGCCATTTTTAGAAAATAAATCCACACTGTAACGGTCAGGCTGTGCGACACAACAACACAAAGCATCAATTGGGCAAATGTAAGTTAGTCTACATTACACATTTTGTATTTCTTTACTAACACAATCATGATGAAGATGAAGTAGTAAATATGTCAAACACTACAGGTCCACATTTGCATGTAAATCAATAAGGCTCGTAAAATGCAGTCAAACTGAATGAATGAACAATTTTACAACATCTGACATAACTTTAACTTTGTGATTTCTTAAATCACATAAGCCTTGTGACTTACTGGAGTATTTAGAATTTTGACACAGAAACAAATCTGAAATATAATTTCAATAATATTTAATTTATTTATCAGGATGATTATTGGGAATATGCCGTTGTCACATACATATACAACAACAACAAATGGATACAGCTGAGAAAACTTTAGTTTTACTCAAACTGAGTAGGCAAATCCCTGCAGTTTTAAAGAGTCAGAAAATGACAAAATTTATAAGTTATTAATTAGTGCCTAACATACACAATAGAGGAACAGGCCAGGTGACACAAGGAACTACTCTGAAAAATGAGAAATTCCCTGTAATATGTATTAAAATAACAGTTGATGATCTGAACATTACAAAGGGCTGATTCATTAGCTATATATGGGGATTTGGTGGACTTTTTAAGAGCAGCCTGAGTGAGGGCACATGTGGTGCGTTTTATTATGCTGATATCTCTGGCTGGTTCTTTCACCAGCATCTCAACTCCTCGTGGGGAGAACGTGATCGCGAAATGCGAGGAAGGTGACACCTCCATTTACTCGCTTTAAGCTCCTCAGAAGCCCCACCTCTTCACACTGAGAGCTGGAGCCTTTGGGTTGTGGGAGGAAAGAGGACGTGAAGCAGGATATATTTGCATTATGAAACACACCCTGAGAATGTGCAGTTTAATGTGAGAGAGAGACACTGAGGTTAGTAATACCTGGGGACGACTGAAAAAAAGAGAGGGAATCGAGGAGCCATACTGGCATATTAAAAGACTGAATAAGTAGAAAAAAAATGAAATTATGCCAGAACTATGAAAAAAGAAAGAAAGAATGCCAAAGAGTGTTGGCAGCTAGAATCACACAATTTTTGTAGTGCTGACAAGAAAACACTCACTTCAGTTTATTTTTGAGAATTTTAAGCACATTTTATTAAACGGATAATTCCTGGCTGAACAGAGCTGTGGTTTCAGCTTGATAGACAAGTAACACACACACACCCATAAAATCAATAAGGGCTGGTGTACATTTAACGATAGCTATTGTCACTGGACCATCTAACTGGACTGCCACCCATGACCCATTATAAATGCAAAGGAGGGGAATTAAGTTATTGTCTGATGAAAAAAAGAATGTATGCAGCTGATTGGTAATGTAGTTCTATCTATATGCTTATGCCTAAAACACACCAAGGTAGGATTTTGGTCAAACTAAATGCCTGACTAACAGAGATGAACTTGAGTTGTATGATAGCAGCAGTCAAGACCTTGGTTGATGTGCTCCTGGTTACTGGTTACCAAAACCAGATTCTTATATCAAGGGGTGGGCTAAGGGGCTGCTAGTGATTCACTTATTCCACATTGCTAAAGCAGGCAAAGACATGTTTATAACAGATAGAAACATGGGAGCAGAAGGTAAATCAAAAGAGAAATGAGAGAACAATTAAAATTGGAAACAAGATTAAGGGTGTACGGTTCCTGTCTCTGTCAGGCTCAATCTCAACAATCCATCACTTTGGGTCCTACAGTCTCTTTCACTAGTCTCCTGACAGCATGATACTGACTGGATGGGGTGAACTTCTATCTGCTATCAATTTCAATTCTGGCTCCTAAATATATCCGGAACTCCATACATGATCGGGTTACTCAATCCCCTCCTGTATGAGCAGATGAGCAGTTATATCCGTTGCAACGGCCAATCCAATAACAGCGAAGAAAGACCAGTCTACCAAAACAGACACACCTAAATGAAAACTACAGATAGCTGTGGTCTGTAAGGATGGTCTGGTGATTGTTATGGTTTTCCGACACCAACTGACAACACCTTTTGGTTGAACTGTTGAATATCCCAGTTCATGACAAAAAAAGAGGAGCACATCCAACGGCAAGATCACATTAAGACACAATAACGGACAGGGTTTGGCACAGAAGAACAGAATAGCAACCGGTTACTCTGAGGTAATTCTCAGATTAACAGGTGAAAAATGAATTACTAGGACAGAGTGGAAGTTACCAGACAGAGAACCAAAGGGCAAAGCACATTTCACAGGGATTTAAAAAGGAATGAGCAGAGAAGAGCGGAAAAGCAGATAAGGTGGTTTACTTTAGAATTAAATTGCTGGTTAATGAGGTTAGAGATCTGAAACCGCAACAAAGACAATAGGCTCAATGATCCATAGGGAGGCCGATAAGGCCTCAACATAGAACCTTTTAGTGGACCGGAAGGTGACCAGCAGTTCATACTGATGACCCTTCTCAGGGGCCTGATTCCATAGAGACTCAGCAGGATGATCGGCAAGTTTTGCAAGAACACTGTGAATCTGAAGTGGTGAAAAAAGACCAGAAAGAGGGATTTTAGTAGCTGTTACAATGTGTCCTCCACCTGTTGGTTACATTTGGTCAGAGTTTTTTAGTCAGCATAAATTAAACACTTTACACCAAAAGCATTTGGGAATTGATTCTTTTGTGTTTTCTAATTTGCTGTTTTTACGCATCATGATCTTACCAACTGTTTCATTTTCCTTGAGCTAATTTGTCCTCTTTATTCACAGCCATTCTCTCCACTTTCAGTCAGCCTGAATCATCCAGAAGAGAAAGACTCCATTCTTGGAAAATGCCTT